TATACATATATTGGTCATAGACGACGCTGTATTTGTACTAAATGGTGGTAAGTTACTCGTATTCTCTACTGTGAACACCCGTGTAAAATAATCATTAAACTCATTTACTATATCAATTTCATTTTCAATTATAAGGCCCTTACTATCCTGCAAATTAGTGATTTCAGCTTTTAGAGCTCTTTTGGAGGTAAAATATTGGAAGAAACTCTTAATGTCCTCCTCAGCCTCCAATGCAATCTTCCTTTCTACATTCCTCTTTGCGAGTCTAATATTATTTTTTTAACTCTTACCTGTAGACTTAGATACTCCTGCTTTATTTTGAAATCATATGTTGTTTTCCATTTGTGGAACAGAGCCCTTTTCCTCCTGACTTCATTCTTAATTTCCATAGTAAACCACCTTGGTTGCAGTTTCCTAGATTTAGTTTTGCTGGAAACAGTCCTCTTGCACTTGCAACAATGTGCTTTTAAAAAATTCCCATGCCTCTGCAACAGTTTTGCTATTTAACACCATCCAGTTTACAGTTTCTAGTTTCAGTTTCATACCATTAAAGTTAGCCTTCCTAACATTGTATACTTTTGTTTTGGACTTTGCTCTTTGGACACTAAAATTAACCTTGAATTTAACTATGTTATGATCACTACTGTGTAGTGGTTCTAAAACCTCTAATTTTCCAATCGTATCCTGTTTATTAGAGAAAACAAGATCAAGAAGGGCTTCTCCCCTGGTAGGGGTATTAATAAACAAAAACAATCCTGTGATAATTCCACCATCTCAAGTTCATTTACAGAAGAGTCCTACTGTCCTACTGTATCCCAGGTAAATTAAAATCACCCATAACCACCACATCATTTTTATTACTCATAATCCTGATATTGTAATATACATTCTGCTTTCCTCTGCAGCTGCATTAGGGGCTCTATAACAAACACCGACAATTAGGCCATTTGAGTTTTTAGTTTTTTTTTTTATCTAGTTTTACCCATACAGCTTCTGTACTTTTATTTTTGTCAGTGAGCTCCCTTGCCTGCAAGTTTTCTTTTACGTATACTGCAACACCACTTTCCTTCTTGCCTATACATTCTCTATGGAACAACATGTAACCATCCAACCAACCGTCCCACCTGTTCCAGAGGGTCTTCCAGTGCCCCATAAACCTAAACCCTCTTTCCTACACCATGCTTTTAGCCATGCGTTTAATA